TTAAAGCAAAATATAAAGACATAAGCAGTGACTTAAGACTTCTTTGCATGTTTAATAACATAACAGGTCGTAGACATTTTGTAGATTACTTATGGGCAGCCGAGCCCATTAGTAGCTGTCTTCTACATTGGTTTTCTAATCTATCTATTTCTAATCATCTAAACTAGTCAGTTTCAGATTAATCCAAAAATGATATTAGAGAAGTTGATGCTAACTATTACACTATTAATATATCAGTTGAAATAATTGAGTGGGAGCTTTGTACACAGTGGGCTTTAACCTGGGATTCATGGGGGTAAGTGTTTCACAGACTAACTTCTCAGGTACACCAGCACTGAAAGTTTCTACCAGAGTGGTATCGGAAGGTAGTGAGACGCTTGGAGTTTATTGACATTTCTTTTCTTTGTCTTCAGAAGGAATTCAGGAAAGACTCAGAGCCTAAATTGTCCTCCATTATTGACTTGTTGCTCCATTAACGGCTTCCCTTGTGCATTGCTGCTTTCAGCTCATAAATATTTCAGCATTCAGAACAGCTGCAGGCAGCTGTCCTTGCTTTGAAGCTGCATTATATGGACATTGTACAACTTGCTTCGTCCAGGTCGAGCACTAGAGCATGCACACTGTAAGTTACAATTTACAGTGTGTCCTGTATCAGTGTCCTCATGCACGCACTCTCCCTCTTGCAGGTCATCTTCAGGAAGATTGCCGATGTGAAGAGGGAGCAGGCGCATCAGAGTGACGTGACTCTGTCGATTCCCGAAGACCACCCGGTTCGCAAGCTGTTCCAGAAGTTCAGACAGCACAGAGACGCTCAAACAGAAGAGTCCAACACTTACTTAGATCACAACTGCGTGCAGGTGGAGATGCAGCAGCACCCCCAGCACCACACTGACTCTAACTCTTACACTCAGCCCAGTCACTCAGCATGGCAGGAGAACACCTCAGCAGGAGGGGGGAACAGTTGTAACATGCCTGAAAAGTCAGAGCAAAGGCGCACAATGGATGCGGTGGGGTCTGCATCAAAGCCTTGTCCAGAGAGCCGGTTTGGCCAGAGCAGTGGTGCAGGTGGAGAGGGTAACGCAGGGAGCGGCAGAGGTGTGAGAGGCTGGGCAAAGTTTAGAAACGCCACATCTGCTGAGCCAGCACGTCCTCCTGTCGAGCAGGAGAAGCAGACTCAGAAAGCAGACGAGTGGCCGAAAGGATCGCAGTCCTCTGAACAGATCGCAGCCCCCAAAACAAACCACGAATCAGGGGGAGGCGGAGAGAGGGGAAGCACAGAGGGCAGCAACAGCGCAGGTGAGGAAACAAGCGCCCTGCACAAAACCGACTCCTGCGACAGTGGTATCACAAAGAGCGATCCACGCATCGACCGAGCAGGAGATTCGAGAAGCTCCTTCGAGCGAAGCCCGATGGAAAGGAGCCCCATGGAGAGAAATCCATTTGAGCACAGCCTCGGGGTTTACGCCGAGGTCTCCCTCAGACACTCATTCGTGCAGCCGCTGTCTGAGCAAGCGCTGCTTCAAGCGACGCTCCACGCGGCCAAGCTGGAGCTGAAAGCAGACATTCAGATACTGAGCGGGAGACTGTCGCTGCTCGAGGCTCAGGTGAGCGAGATCCTCAGGCTGCTGTCGGTAAAAAGACTCTCACTGCCGCCAGCGTCCTCTCCAAAAGCAAGACGGAAAAGTCAAGACTCGGTCACCGCCTCCAGGCCGGCTTCACCCAAAACAGACGACGAGGATCTTTAAATTTTCTCACTCAATAAAAAAAAATAAAGGATTAGATAAGCATCGTGCATGTCCTGCTGGACTACAAGTTTTAATACTTGATTGCATGCAGAAATGTTACCTTAGCACCACAAGAATCCAGGGATTTATCTTATACTGTAGCTTTTAACTTATGAGACACTTGTGTGTGAGAGGAAGCAGGGACAAATAATTAACAACAAGCACAAAAAGGAAATGATGCTTGATGAAGTAGTTGGAGTAGTTCTTTACGTTTCTGGAAGTCAGTTTACAGTTTTGAGGGGGTTTTTTTGTTTGTTTTCTTGGTAGAAAATCTTGAAGTTCACATTTCTATTTTGTGGACAAGCTGAAGCTCAATGAGCATTTCAACATGCACAGTGTATTATAAATACACAGCTTTATCTTATTTAGGAGGGAAATTCAGAGTTTTTGTTGCTCATCCTCAGTGGAGCGACAACCTTCAGAGTTAATTATCAGGTAATTAAATGTGCCTTACAATAGCAAAGCCTCACTGCGGGCTGTTTTGATGAAATCTAATGTTATATATACATATAAATCTATATGCATTGTCTTATTTAAAAACTCATTTCCTGTGCATGTAAAAATAAAGGACAGCAATGCAATAATGCCACTTTTACATTTTTGTTAAAGGTTTCTTTTCCTTCAGGATGCGAACATGTCACCAGGTTTTTGCAGCAGACTCATTGTGCATTTTTCTTCACGTAGCTTTGCATCTTGCTCAGGTATCTTTGTTCTCAGACTGAATTTGAACGATTTCTATTTATTAGTCATTTTGTAAGATAAATGGTACTGCATATCCTGTTTTAATCGTTTAAATGATGGTTCACTATGCATATCTAAAGGGAAGGTGCACTAAACTCAGTTTGTTCATATTTTTTTGGTGGTTTATGAAACCACTGGGGAAATGCTGTGTGAACTGTAAGGGTCCAAGCATGTGACTGTTAAGTATGTCTGTTCTATGTTACGTTCAGAGACGACCTTGCATGCATCCGAGGGAGCCTGTCAACTGTGAAATGAGTAATGAAAAGTAATGCCTGCTCACCATCTGTTGTTTAGTTTCTTCTCTTATGTAACACAAAAGTCTGCCTTTAAACTGGAAAGTGCAACACGCAAGCGGGTTTCATGTCACAATGTTTTGTTTAATCCAGGTGAGTCACAGGAGGATACCGATTACAGTGGATTTACACTTTCTCCTTTCTCATATTTCTCCTTTAAATATGATTTTTATTTAGCAGTTGACAAACAAAGCAACACTTTTGCACTGACTTCTGAATTATCTTTAAACATCAGTGCTAATAAGGAGGGAAATAGTAGGAT